TTATTCATAACTCTAGTTACCTTTGGTGAGGAGAGTGGTTAGTGGCTATGAAGGGACACAAGGAAGGCCTCAGGATGCTGTTAATAACCTGGTTACTCATCCAGGGGGTGATTCTGTACCCATGTTCACTTTGAGAAATCTCAGTGTGGTATACATTAAGTATTTGTGTAGCATTCTCTACATGTATCTTTGATACTAGTTTTACCTTATAAAATTATAACAGATGAGCTAAAAATAATACAACCATTAAGTGAGGGATGAGATGCTAAGTAATCGTGAGCTTATTTCTTTTCTTCCGTATCAGGTTGTTTTTAGAATCAACTTAACAAGGATGAGTCAAGCAACAGAAGTAAAATTATATTACCTAAAATGTAGCTATAACCACAAGTGGACCTAGGAGAAATCATTTAAAAAGAAATTTCCTTTAAGAAGTAGGAAGAGGGTGGAGAGATGGATGCGAAGCTAAACTGTTCAATATAAATTTTCTAAGCCACTTGCTTATGATGACAAAAATTTTTAAAGATAGCATCAAGCTACAAAAGGTTTACTGTAGTTTCATAAATATTTATGGTCCACTTAAATTACGCTGACTGTATTAGATGCTTGGGACACAAAATGACTAACACAGTATACTTTCCTTCAGGGAGTTCCCACTCAGAAGTGGAAATAGGAATTTAAGCAGATAACATTCTTTTTCTTCTTTTCAATTTTTCCTATACAATGCACTTTGAGAAGACTACTGAAGACAGAAGATGATTAATCTTTCATAATCCCATCACCAAAAGATACCTTCCTAGTCTTCTTATACATATATAGTCCTATTTTTCTAAAATATTTTTGCATATCTACACATATCCTTTTTGAAGCCAAACAAAAATCTATTGAGAATATTTTTCCATGTCTCTAAAAGTTTCTTTGTCATACTTAATAGTGACAGCCTATAGTCATCTCATGAGTTGGTCCCAATTGATGGAACCGTCAACTCTTCCTTGGAGTTTCGATAAAGCTTTCTAGTCCAGATGGCGCACAACTGATAATATGTACTTTTTGTTCATTTTTCTTTTTTCTATTATTCATTTTAGTTATACATAATATTGGGTTCATTTTGACCTAAATGTATAAGCATGGCATATAATTGGCCTTAATTTAGTTCTCAGTACTACATGTTAAATTTAGATGGACATTATTGTCCGGGTATGTAGCTCAATGGTGGAATGCTTGCCTAGCATGCCTGAGGCTTTGAGTTTGATCCCCTGTACTGAAAAAAATACAAATATGTAAGTAAATATAAATACAAATAAATGAACATTATTGTCATGAAGCAGTCAAGGCTTCTTTTGAACCTACCCACCTTATTCATACTATCTTGACATAATTTTATTGGGGCCCACATGAGCTATTATGTTCATAAATTCAGGCCATTCTTAAAATGTCTTACACTGCCATTTAAAATCATCATCGAGGAAATCTTTCTCACTTTTGTTTCCTCTGCCATCTGCTATCCACAACCCATATACTTGTAACAAAGAATGGAAAATTCCAAGGCAAGGAGGAAATGGGACAAAGGAGGAAGACTGTTAAGTTTTACCAAATTCTGAGTTCCGGTCTCCGGAGAAAACAGCCCATATGTAGACTTCAAAGCCACTGACAAACAGTTGGCTAAAGGAATCAGCAAGGATGTTATACCTCAGAGAGCAGCATTGCCCAAACTCCAGGGAAGGAAACGGGGAAGGGAAATGAAAGAGGAACGAGAAAGTGAAAGCCAAGCTGTCCTGTGGAGGTGCTTCTTTGTATTTGAAATCTGCTTAGTTTCTTCCTAGATCTCAATTAAGTTCCTTTCAAAGACCTGATTCTGAGATGAGATTTTACAGAATGCATTTTATGCAAAACTCCTACACACATGAGCGCGCGGGCACACACACACACACACACACACACACACCCCACAAAGAGCCTCCCACACACTCTCAGCAGGTCTAGCACTCAAGAATTATATACATCAAATTTGCTAGGAATGGAGAAGAGGGATCATTTCCAAACTGACCTGGATATAGAAGTTCTTGAGTCAAACTTTCATAGCAGATGGAATAATTTGTCTCGACAGTTACACATACTCTTTGCTAGGGTGCCATGAAAATCAGTGACAGAAAGGCCATAATAGCTTCAGAAAATGAAAAATTATGAGAGCCAAGGTTTCCTTTCTTCCTTTTTTTTTAAAAAACTCCTTAAATCAGCAGTAGTTTCCTATGCTGAAATGAGACTTTGAAATTATGGTGAGTCAGACATAGACGAGTACTTTCCAACCACGCTTATGAATGCTACAATTAATCCAGTAATTCATTTTATTGATAATGTACAATTAGGATGCTAAATGATCTGAACATATTACTTCTCTTACTTTTAGTGCTTTACACATTATAATTAAGCAAAGCAAAGTTAAAATCATACACATAATTAAGGAAACCGGTGTTAAAATAAATGAAATAAAATTGTTCTCTGAACTCAGTTTAATCTCCATGAAAAGACTATTACATACTCTTAAAAATGGTAGGGTTTCCAAACACTTAGCCCATAAGCATTTTAACAGAGCCTGCAATCGGTATTTAATTTCTTTGTCTTGAGCAGAGTCAGTTCTTTTCTTTAGTGAGTGTTTATCATAAATAGAGATCTTCTCTTCCAAATAAAATATTTAAGCATCGGAACTGTTGTGCCTGTAAAACCATACAGAAGAATGAAACTCTATTTAGAATCCACAAAGAAACATGCAGACTTAAGTTGTTAAGAGATGCACATTTTCCTTGGAATGTTTTTGACCCGTTGGGAGACATTTCAATTTTAAACACTTAGGGAAAATACATTCTTACATGAATTTGCATGTAGCAGACAGCTGCCAAATATTTCTTGAATTCCTTTCATCAAGAAGAGATTTCCACCAAGAGCCACTCTTAACTATGTAAGACATTTAAGGAAAATCTTAAACCCAAGTACATTTCCCCGAATCTTATTCCATTGAGCATGCTGAAAATTCATGATACCTTTTCAGACTTTCAGGAGGAAAAATCAATATAAATTGAACAACCATTGTTTTCCACACAAGTACTGTGTGTATATATGTATATACACACATATTTAAAGAGTATACACACATACACACACACGTTTGTGTACTCTTTATATCTTAAAAGAGCCATATGAGAAACATGTACCCATTTAACATATAAAGGAAATAAGTCCATGTAAAGAAATTATGAAACTTAACGATTTTACACAGTCAGGAAGAGGGAAAGTCAGAATTCAAATCTAGGCCCGTCTGATTCCGAAGTCCGTATTCACTTTGCCAGAATATGTTGTCTCCTGTGTATAGACCCAAAACTTAACAATATTTTAGTAACTTTTCCCAAATACTGAGTTCTTGTTATTAAAGATTAATTTTCTAGACATGGTGACAAATATTCCACAGAGAAACTATAATATACCTGGTAGAGAATTTTAACTTGGTGAAGGACTTTAATTCCAGTGTTAGATTAAAATGAAATTAGTATGTTAGTGATTGTTAATTTCTGGTATATAGAGAGGAAAAAAGAACTTGAACCGGGATGCATTGAAATATTCAGGAGGATCAATGTAATAACATATTGACACATTTGCACTAATATATTTACTTTGGTACTGAGAAAATTTTAACGTAGCTCCTTGGACATTGATATTTATACACTGGGATATTTTGATAGATCCTAATGGATAAAACTTTAGAATTTCAGTCCTTTCTTTTTTTAACCAAAAACTGCTGAAATAGATGATTAGCTATTAATTCTTTTCCAAGGCTAAAATCTGAGTATCACTTAGAATGATGTGCCCATAAATATAGCTACACCTGGCTCTCCACATTCCTTTAGTTTCAGAGGCCTAGGTAAATCCAAGCCTGCTTGGGTTATCTGCTGGCATTGCACAGGTCATTCATGTTCCATTCTGCTAATGACTGTCGAGTGCAAAGTCCTGTCTTCTCTTCTGGGCTTCACGTTCCCCATTATTCCCCAAATAGGTAATTCCTGGAAAATGATGTCCATCCTCTCATTCCACCTTTCTCCAAAAGAAATTCCTATTCTGCCCCCATCTTCCCTTGAACTCTGGACAACAAAGACCTCCCTCTCATTTCACTCTGGTGGTAGTTTTGAGAAAGTAGAGTTAAATAGTATCTGACTGGCAAACCTTGCGGGAACAGGACTCCTGCAACTATGTATTGTGCTGTTTCTTCTGCATCACCACCCATAAAATTTGTGTCTTGAATTGTCTGAAATTTTTCTGCTATTTCACTTAAAATAAAAACTTAAAATTATTTCACTTAAAATGCAAAACTGAGGTGTGGTTGAGGACTGGAGCCACACTAAGCTTCAGACTATTCGAGAAATCCCCATTCACGTTTCTAATAGCTTCCTCAGTCTTTGCAGAAATATAAATGTATCATATTCTAAAACTAATTTTTTAAATGATGGACCTCTGGGAGGTGAGACTAAAATTTCCACAAAGTCTTGTTGGTTAAAAAAAAATATTGATTTTTAAATGTATGTTATGTATTAAAAATAATTGTTAAACTATAAGTTTATAACATTGCATCAAACTATTAAAGCTAATTTGATATAAGTACTAAACTACATAAAAACTCTATATATAACTATTAAAATAATATTGCTGTGAATAGAGTTCAAAATAAAAATTTGTCATAGCCAAAATGGCAGCTAACAGATTGAGTATGTCAAAGGAGCCTATTTTGTATATTGCTGTATATTCTTACTTTTTTACTCTAATCAAATCATGGCCACTTCAGGATGCACACTGTGATAAAGTGGTTGCACCAAAATGCCTGAACCAAAATAGTTGTGTCAACATGGCCACATAAGCATGCTTCGCTTTGATCCCAAATACATAGACTGTAAATTTATGCTTCAAGGATGGGCCCTCTATCTCATTTCTCACTCCTCACATGCCATGTTGTTCTCCAGCCTTGATGCACGCCTTGGTGTTTGGGAATGTGACAGCAATCATACAGAGGATGTATTCCCGATGGTCTCTCTATCACACCAGAACTAAGGACCTGAAGGACTTCATCCGCGTTCACCACCTGCCCCAACAGCTCAAGCAGAGAATGCTCGAGTATTTTCAAACCACCTGGTCAGTCAACAACGGAATAGATTCAAATGAGGTAATGTTCACCTCTCATGTTGACATTTTGAGGCAGAAAACACATATTCTAAGGTAAAAAAGTAAGATGCTGTAATGTACGTAGCAGAAGTGACAAACACACCTAGCAACTTCTTTATCTCTTTATTTTGTTCATCACTCGTGAAACTCAATCCACTTCTTCTATCTGCTTTGGTTTATAAATTCGCAGTGCCACTTTGGACTGATCTGTATTTTATATTAATAAGCCATTTTGGTTGATCAAATGATTTATTTTTCCTTTTTTAAAGGAACCAATTCTTATGAGAGCATAATGGTGTAATGTTGGGCTATTAGATTAGTCAAGCTAAAGCAACTGTTAGAATAAAAAAAATAACAAAATCCAACATAGCTGTTATCTGTAGACTTCCAGAAATAACATAGACTACCACTGGGGAAAAAGGTATTATAAAACAGGCAACCATTTCACCAACCCACCAACCCACCAACCAAACCAATACATTAAGGAGTAATACTTTGGTTTCTCCTTTCTTGATGTGATTATGACACCAGAGAAAACACCCACAGATCCAAATTCCATTTTTTCTGCCATGAATAGGAATCTCTGGGAGAAACAAGTCACAACGATTTACATGTTAGTTATATGTTTCCCTAAACGGGGTCTTTTATTAATTTGTGCTATTTCTCCAGACTTATTATGCACTCATTATTCAGTAGCCAACCGTGAAGGGTCATGGCCACTGAAAAATCTCTCCAGGATCATACATGCATAGATTTCCTCTTCTGTACTCTGGTTAGCCAATCAGTAAGAAGAACATCTCTCTTGTATTTTAAGGTACATCAGTCAGACTTCACTTAGCCAAATTGATTTCCTCCTCCATCTTCTCTGACAGCTTCTGAAAGACTTTCCAGATGAGCTGCGTTCTGACATCACTATGCACTTGAACAAGGAAATCTTGCAGCTGTCCCTGTTTGAATGTGCCAGCCGGGGCTGCCTCAGGTCTCTGTCTCTACACATCAAGACCTCCTTCTGTGCTCCGGGGGAGTATCTGCTGCGCCAAGGGGATGCATTGCAGGCCATCTACTTTGTGTGCTCGGGCTCCATGGAGGTTCTTAAAGACAGCATGGTGCTGGCTATTCTTGGTAGGTCTGAGCTGAAAATCTGCAGTTTTACTCTGCAGCATGAATTAAGAAGACGAAACTGGGGAAAGTCTGCTAGTGAGAGTAGAAAAAACACAGGTGAATATATGGACTCAGAATTATTCTTCATATGGGTTTAATTTAGCTAAGTATTATATACACTGGTTAATTCTTATAAAACACTCCAGTAGTAAAAATATTAACCTCATTTTATGGATAAATAAATACATCTTAGTTAACTTGTCCAAATCATATAGTAATAAAATAAATTCAGTGCTTTCTGATTCCTAAAGAAATTATAAATATATATATATATATATATATATATTTTTTTAATAGACCTTTTTTTATTTATATGCGGTGCTGAGAATTGAACCCAGTGCCTCACACATGCCAGGCAAGTGTGCTGTCACTGAGCCACAGCCACAGCCCTTCCTAAAGAAATTATTGATCATGAGTTACATGCTCTCCAGCTAAAATAGCTGCTCAGTTTTAAAAGGGCATTTCCATATTTTTGTGGAGAAGCAATTCAGAGAGCACAAAAATTAAGTTTTATCTGTGCTAGAAATAAAGCAAAAAGGGATTATACTTCAAGAATAAACTCTCATTGCAGTCATTAACCTAATACTGTCAAGGTGACTATAGGCTCTTTTTAGTTCCTCACAGAACTAAAAAAGAACTAAAGAGATAAAACTAAAACTCAGAAGATAATTGTGAAAATTTTGTGCCCATGAAGTTGACTGCAAATATTAAGACATAATTAGTCTTTGTTGAAATATAAAGGGCTGCTGAAAAGGGGGTGGCACGTAGGGTTAATGTAGAAAATTTTCTTTCACAATTTTATGCAAACTTCCTTTAAAATCTACTCTCCTTTGTTTGTTCAGTTATTCTACTTATCGTGGGCCTATAAGTGAATCAGACACTGTTCTGAACCCTGATAATATAGCAGAAAAGAAAATGGCCAAAATCCTTGCCTTTGTAGAAACTAAACTCAAGCAAAGGACATGATAGAATAGACCGAGGTGGTAGCAGGGATGGTGAGTGGCAGGTGAATTCGGGATATATTTTAAACACCAACATAATAAACCAAGGCTTAGAATTTGCATTACTAAAAAGGGACTAATGCAGTACTTTCTGTTTATTCTAGTTTTCCAACAGCCTAATATTTACAAACAATCACTTGCAAAATATTTTCACACATGGGATCTCACATAAGCCTCCACAGCACTGAGAGGAAGATCACAGAGGCCTTTTCTCTATCTTTCTAAGACCAAAGCTAACCTGCATCTTGACTCTATGACCACTGCTTCCTCTTTGTGTAAACAATACTTACTAGTCTATGTAATTGTAGACCTGCTATCACTGGATTCTAGCTAGTAAACTTCAAGACAATTGCAATTTGGGAGAGAGAAGATAACTAATATTTATTGAATCTCTAATATAAGCTGGATTTTTCATGTCCATTACCCAATTTAAATTTTGCAAGCTTATTGGGTTGGTGTTATAGTCTGAATGTTAGGAGTCCTCCTAAAATTCATGTCAAGATGCCATCATTAATATTATGGTTCTAGGAGGCAGGGCCTTTGAGTGTTGTTTAGATCACAAGGACAGAGACTTCATGAATGCAATTAGTGTCCTAATTAAAAAGGCCCCAAAGAGCTGCCTTGCCCTTCTGCCATGTGAAGATACATGAGAAGGCATCATCTAAGAATCAGAAAGTGGGATCTTATTAGACACTGGTAGGCAGAGAGGTACTGCTGGGTGTGGGGTGGGGCACAGGTCACTTGTTTTTATTTATTCACTTTATATTTTGATAAAGAAAATGAGGCTTTTATACTGTCAAAAATATTAGAATTGTATGCTTTATTTTGTATATTTTATGTAACAGATTTATCATTCATAATGTTCAATAGTTATTTCTTCTTCCCAATTGTGAGAAAACCGGTGCAGAGTTCTTTCTCCCACATCACCCTCTGGTGTTGTAGAAATAACCAGAAGTGATTAAAAGAACTTGAATATGTTCAAAAGCTGAAGATCATGCTTCCATTATTGTCCAAAGTACTAGAATCAAAATAATTCACATACCTCTTGATAGTCTTACCTTAGAAGCACAGAGCCATTTTCCCACTTAGAAAAATCTGAGCCATTATTATTTCCCTGGAAACATTAGAGGGGCTGTGGACTGTGACAAAAAAGAAGGAAAGAAAAAGAAAAAGATATAGGTGTGTGTGTGTGTGTGTGTGTGTGTGTGTGTGTGTGTGAACTGATTTGTCTAAAGCCATTTGACAAATCCTGCAAGAGACCTCTTCTACAAGAAACTAAATTGCAGGTACCATCGATGACCTGCAATTCTGAACTCTCCATCCTTCAGCCATTATCCCTAGACCAGTGTCCAATACCAGAAACAGTTTTGCCCACCAGAGTCCATTGTACAACATTTGAAAATACTTTGGGTTGTCAAAATGAGAGTTCAGGGTGAGCCTCAATCTCACCCCTGCCTGAAGTAGTCTTCTCCTTTCTTCAGTGTGATCTGAGATATATGAAGCCTGTAAATCAAATGAAGTTCTCATTCCTAAGCTCAAGTTTGCTTGCTTTTCTTGACAATGATATTTCTTTCCCTACCTCCCTCCCTCCCTCCCCCTCCTCCCCCCCCTCCCATTTGTAGGGAAAGGAGACTTAATTGGAGCAAATCTATCAATTAAGGACCAAGTGATAAAAACTAATGCAGATGTGAAGGCTTTAACCTACTGTGATCTTCAGTGTATCATCCTCAAAGGCCTCTTTGAAGTGCTAGACCTTTACCCAGAATACGCTCACAAATTCGTGGAAGACATTCAGCATGACCTCACATACAACCTTCGAGAAGGGCATGAGAGTGATGTAAGTCTCATTTTTAATTAGTGCTGAGCTCTAACAACACAGGTCTTGGAAATCATTTATAACTGCAAAGGCAAATGGTTATAACCTCACTTTAAAAAGACTTTGATATAAAAATGTACTCAGTCAGTCATTGAATAATTAAACAATTAGCTAGAAGCCCAAACTGGAGTTCATTACCAGCACTCTAGGAAAATATTATTTATAGGTGACTTCTCTAAACTTAGTTTGGTTCTTGTATATTTTCATGGCATAAAACTAGAATCATTTTCAATGATGTATATCATTTATCTAGAGATGTGTAATTTCTCCAGAATTTAAAGATTTCCAGATAAAATATATGGCTCAGAGTCTGCTGTGTTTACAATTGCTCACTACACCAATTGTTTGGCATGGATTTTGCTTAAAACTAATCTTTTTTGTTAGAACAGTACCCAAAACAATCTATCTTAAAAAGACTAAATATGCATAAAAGGATTCAAGCCGAAGATTGTTAGATTGAAAGAATAATGAACATTTTATGCAATTATATATTTGCTACATGTTTCAGTTTATACTAACAGCTTTCCTGTCAAAATATGTACTATACTCCATCCTGTGATTAAGCTGATCGTGAACATGACTTCATTAGATGTGTCAGACACAAAGGATTTAATAGGAATGATTGTTGAAAGGCAAGCCAGAGCATGCAGAGCATCATGTAACAACCAGAGCCTTGTCCCAGATATTTGCAATACCCAAGTTAGGGGGTTAGAAAGCTGTGGTTTTCACTAACCTATATTGAATGGACATTTTTACTAATCATTACCATTCTGCATTATGAAAGGTATAAAGAAAATCCCAAGTTGTGTATTTTTTCATCTGTGTTGGTGATATAACATTAGATAGATGAAAGACGATATTTCATTCTGAAGTCCATAATTACCAGTTTTGCATGTGCTTCTTACTGCTGGTGATAGCAAACAGCAGAGGAGGTATCATTGGCCATCCAGGATACTTTAGCTCTCTACCTATAGAAAGAATCTTATTAGTTGCTTAAAACAAATCTTTAAGGTAAGTCTCAATCTTTTTCTATGGTAGGGAAAAAACTGAGATTCAGACTGGCCTATAATCACACAAACTGGGTGGGTGGGAGAGTTTGAGCATGGGTATCAGATTCATAACCTATACTCTTTCTGTTAAATATGGTGTCTCTTCTTGAAGCTACTTTCATGTATTTCATTCAATAGAGAGAATTTCAAAACTACATGTGTTTTTTGTGCTCTTCATGAAAGCATAAAATGACAACAATTTTTGAAGATCGAAGGTAAGTTAGGGGGTGGAAGCAATCAGTTAAGGAGGAAGAAATGAAAAAAGCCAATATTTCCTGCATTGAAAAATGGAAAATATTGGGTCCCAACCTCTATTTTCTTTCCATTTGACTGTTATATTTTAATAATCCTTATCTTTTATTATTATTGTTTATGGTATACAACATGTTTTAAAATATGTATACACTATGGAAAGGATAAATCAAGCTAATTTACATAGGCATTTCCTGACATATTTAATGTTTTATGGTGAGAACATTTAAAATATACTGTCTTAGCAATTTCCAAGTGTACAATACATCATTATTAACTAAGTTGTCCTCCCAGTTCATCTATGTTGTCACAAATAATAGAATTTCCTTCTTTTTAAAGGGCAAATGATATTCCAGTGTGAATAAATGATTGTTTTCTTTTTCAATTCATCCATTGATGAACATTTAGGTTGATTCCATATCTGGGTTATTGTGAATAATGCTACTATGATCATGAAAGTGCATATATCTCTTATAGATAATGATTTCATTTCCTTTGGATACAATAACCAGTAGTGGAATTGATGTATCATATAATAGATCTGTGTTTAATTTTTTGAGGAACCACCATCTCTTTTCCATGGTGGCTCTACTAAAGTACATTCCCACCAACAATGTGCGTAGGTTCCCTCGTTTCACACCCTTGCTAATACTTATCTTTTCTCTTTTTGAAAATGACCATTCTAAATAGGTGAGAGATGATATCTCATTGTGGTTTTATTTTGCATTTCCCTGATGATTAGAAATGTTGAATTCCTTTAGTATGTCTCGGGATATATATGCTCAGGTCCTTTGCCCATTTTTAAATCAGGCTATATGTTTTCTTCCCGTTGAGTTTTTTGAGTCTCTTATGTCCTTTTAATATTAACCCTTACCAGATGTATGGTTTACAAATATTCTATATGTTGTCTCTTCACTTTGATGATAGTTTTGCTCTGAAGAACTTATTAATTTGATGGGATCTAATTTTTCTTTTCTTGATTTTGTTTCTTATACTTTTGGAGTCACCTAAAAAAAAATCATTTCCCAGATCAAAGTCATGGAGTTATTCTCTTATTTTTCTTTTAGAGTTTTACACTTTCATGTCTTTTACCCATTTTGCGTTGATTTTTTTTATATGATGTGACATAAGGATCTAATTTCATTCTTTTTTTTTAAGAGAGAAAGAGAGAATTTTTAGTATTTATTTTTTAGTTTTCGGCGGGCACAACATCTTTGTTTGTATGTGGTGCTGAGGATCGAACCCAGGCCGCACCATGCCAGGCGAGCGTGCTACCGCTTGAACCACATCCCCAGCACCCTGATTTCATTCTTCACATGTGTTAAGGGAGCTTTATCATTGATAAGTATTTTGTCCTGTTTTCTATTTGCTAGAATATTCATCATAGTAGTTTTAAATGCTTGTGAGTGTAACTCCAATATATGAATCACCTGTGTAACTCTTTTATTCTGTTCTCTCTCACTCCCCACCATTCTTTTTCTCCTTCCCCATCCTCCTCCTCCCCTTTCCCCTTGCTCTCCCTGCCATTTGATCCTTTTTTTAAAGCAAGTATCATAATTTTGTTTAAATAGAGATGTTGCTTATGGAAAATGGTTCATGTAATTTTCCTCTAAATAGAATACAATTTTCTCTGGGCAGGCAGATCACTTTTATCTTGTCCATTGTTCATCTTAGGCGTTGTTAGCTTGGTTTCTTTTGTTTTCCTTAGTCCTGAAGTGTGGCCTGTATTCCTAGAGCAGTTTTTCTGGGGTTTCTCCTAAAACTCTAGTATGCTTACCAAAGTCCCTCCTGTTTGGCAGGGCTTAGACTCCAGTCTACTTAGCACCACTTGGCTGTTCTGCAATTCATTCAGCCTCCCAACTGCTATTTCATCTATGCCTCAAGGAGTACCACCCCCTGAGTGCTCAGGTCAGAATTGGCTAATGCCTCAAGGGGAACACAAATGCAGTTACCTCTTCTCTGGGATTGTACTCCTCAAATCCCATATGGTTTATTTCACCCGAACTTCATCCTCTTGCTCCTTAGCCAGGAAGACTGTCCCTTCCCAGTTTCCTCTACTCTCCCCAACCAATGAAATAGCAAATGCCCTCAGAAAAATGCCTAGCTAATTATGAAACACACTAGTGTTGTTTCCTCAGGCATCACAGCCATTCAAGTCTTACCTCAGTTGATTGCTCTCAATGCCTTCAAGGAATTATTTCACATATTTTGTCCAGCTTTATAATTACTTTTAACTGAAGGGTTAGTTCAATAAAATCTACTCATTATGGCTGGAACCAAAAGTATTGTGTCTTTTTACAGAGGGGGCTCCTTACAAGCTGCATTTTTAAGGGAACTGAAGCTTACTTTTGGAAAGTATTCTTTTATATTTCTGATCTGTTATTTCTCAAAATTTATGTATTTTATTCTCCAAAATCCTTGGAGATACACTACCTTCTGATGGCATAGTAAGTTTGAACCACTCTTCCTCATAACTCAATACATTTGAGGAAAGGTCTTGTGCTCTCCTTAAGCATACTTATCGTTTGAGGGGAAGTTATGTATCATATATGTTCTGATGTATACCTGTGATTATGGATTCCTGCTCTTGGCTCTATATAAATGTTATTGCTTCCTATCTCTTGAATGAGATAGGAAGCAATAACATTTATATAGCAGATCAAATGTGAAACCGAGCCCCCTCCCTTCCATGTACACAAACAAAAATTGCGGTCATGCTAGATTTTCTGGTAGACTGAAGCATTGAAGGAAAGTTGATCATGGGTGTTAGAAGAAGGAGCATTTGCATATTGGAGATGCAAGCGACATAAATGTAACTTATCTATATATCCTTATTCTTAAAGATCATGTAACCAAATCATGTCTTCAGCCAATTTACTATTGCTTTCAATTCTCTCCTCTTGTATAATCTATTCTCCCCTCTTATCCTTATTACTTCTGACATGTATTAAAATAACTCTCCCTTTGGATATTCTATGCCTAATTTTTCCCTCTAGATATCACCTATTATCCCAAATAGCTTATAGACTATCAGATGACATAGATACTTCCCAGAATATCTAGATAAAGAGAAGACTAACAGTCAACCCATTCTGGAATAAAATAAAGGCCAAAAAGCAGTTTAAGAAGTAGGCAAAATTTAGAAGGGTTGTGTATGTAGCAATAAGATTATGACTCCTAGAACTGTGATAAATTGTATGATTTTAGATTGACAGTGTATTCCATTCTCATAGGAAAACAAATGAAAATGTATAAAATATTTTGTAAGTATGTTGAAAAGGATAGTTAGGACTGTTTTGACCTCATGCTAATTATCCATTTTATGCAATCAGTGTGTTTTCTATATTCACCCTTATTTATAACTCCTGGATGGCCCCAATAATGACATCAATTAATTTAGCTATTTCTCTTTACTCAGATTATGAGAAATTTGCTTCGCTGCTTCTTATGGTGAACTCTGTAAAATTGATTTTGGCATAAACTAATATGTTGTGAAATCTAGCTTTTTAACATAAGTAACTTTAATTTTTTTGATGAACAAATTTAAGTGATTGGAAAGTGTTCAAAATATCTGCTTTTTTTAAAAAAATGGGTAATGTTTTTGCATTGAATATTAGAAATTGATATGATTATATATAAATATCTTAGGTGCTATTGTAG